GAAATTCTTGAAACAATACTGGTCGAGCAATGGCGGTGCATTCCTTCAAAGCTGAACGTAGCAGTTGGAGCTACCAAGGTCACCAGGCAAACCCAGCAAGAGACGTGGATAACGGGCCCGGAGTTCCTGAAGACCGATGCCAGCAACTGGCCGATATCCAAAAAGCAGGAGAGCATCATCAAGACAAGACATGCCAACAACCACGACAATGGCTCATGTAAGCAAGGCAAAGATGCTGCTAGCCAATTATATCGCTCTCGAGGGACACCGAAGGAAATATTCTCAGCAACGTTACAAATTTTAGAGCCACGGAAAAAGCCGTGCACGAGAAGCTGAAAAAGATCGAGCACGATAAGGTCACCATCAAGTTCGACGGCAAAAAGTGGCGATTACCCACTAGGAGCACCGCACATGGGTGGAGCATGGGAGAGACTCGTCCGGACAACGAAACGAATCTTGAAGAACATTTGCCCAAGTTACTCTTTCAACGACGAGGGGTTGAGAAACGCATTGATGGACAATTGGCACATTGTGATGGCACAATTTATCATCAACTCGCGACCTCTCACGTTCTTATGTTTGGATTCACCTGCTGCTAGGATTAGCGAACGGATACAAGCCGCTGCCAAAAGAGGGAATGAGTCTGAAGCGAAGATAGAACGAGACTCAGCGCTTCGGAGACCGCTTTTGGCAACAATAGGTTAAGGAGTATGCGCCCGTATTAACCAGGCGCATCAAATGGTTTGAGAAGGTACCTCAAATCACCATCGAATCAATTCAAATCAAATCAGTCAAATCAATTCTTCCAAGGAACCTGTGACTAAAAGAACGGCCAATGATGGCCAAGGATGGACAAGTTTGGCGGGTGACCATCAAGACGCAGCATGGTGTTATAGAAAGACCAGCAACAAAGGTAGCAGTTCTGGACGTCGGCTTGGAGAATGACAACTGACCACGGATCGGGATCAATTACGGGGGAGGGAATGTTACCGCCGTCATAGAATTAAGTTTATATTTGAATAATGAAAATTGAATAATGTTTAGTTTTGAAAAATGCTAGATGTTAAAATTATCGATATGTAAAATGGCCAAGAACGAGGCGTCTGTGATCGCTAACGAGGCGAGGGTAAACGGACGAAGTTTTTTAGCGCGCACCATTGATTTGAGTAAAAATAAAGGAAATCCATGTTTGCTTAAAAAAATCGTGCAGCAACATCGTCCCGATCCAAACAGTCACATTTAGTTTTCCTTAAACTAAACTTTTTTTTTTAAATTCCAACGCCTTTCATCGGCGCGAGGTTTACAGACAAAATTATAATTTGCTAAGCTAAAGATAGAGTTGTTTAAAATCCAGATTTCTGACATTATTTCCATGTTTATATTATTATTAACTAAATATAGTTCTAACAAATGTTTATTGTTATTTGCAGTTAAGCTCTGAATATTATTTTGGAGGATTTAAAGAGTCATTTTTATTGTTGTTATTTTGGATTTTTCTTAAGAAAAGTATGTATGTTAAAAGAAAACTATTGTATTGATTGGTTAATTTTAAATTGTTCAATTTTTGAATTTGTAATATAAATACGATATTTTAAATTAACTAAAAAGTTTCTTGATTCAGGAACTTAATTTGAATTTTCGTTGACTGAAAAAGAGGAAATCTCTAGGGCTAGTTGGTTTAAACTATTTTCTGCAGCTTCTATAGCTAGGTTGTTATCTTTATAAATTTCAACTTGTTCTTCAGAAAAAGGGTCTTGGATTGGGTGTTAATGAATTTTTTAATGTTGTTTAAGTGCAGCTTTACAGCTGATCATTGTGTCGTTGGCATGTTTTACTAATTTTTTTTGTTAAGAGAGATCTTAACAACTTTGTTAAAGGGTTATTTTCGAATAGTGAGTGGCTAATTTCGTCTTATTTTGTAAAATTGGTGTCGTTGATTTTCTTTGCCATGATAGTTGTGAAAAATGAGTGATCCCTTTGGAAGGTCCCTTTGAAAGAAATGTCATACAAAATTCCATTTTTATCCAATTGCAATTTTTCTTCTAAGCTCGCAGAATTTCTAATTTGAATCGTTACATTATGCACATTCGGTCCAGACAAGTCGTCCATTTCCACAACATTCACTTCAACACTTACTTATATATCCTCTTCATTGTTAAATATTTTTTCCTTTTAATTTTTTTTTATTATGACAGGGGGGATTTTAATTAAAACTGTCTGTGGCATCCTGTCAATGCGAGCGTTGATGAGAGCGGAGAGCATTCCTGAGTGCGGAAGTGGCCTCTCTGCATCTGACCGAAAATTTTCGGTTCTTCAGGAACGACTCCAGGTAGAGGTAGTAAGGTCTGGGCAGGTTAGTCTTCAAATTAAGCAGGAGACCGGAGTACCACACCAGGTTGTTTGACACCCAGCATTACAACCAGGCAGTACTTCTTGGTTTCGAAGGCGTCCAGGATATACTGCACCACTCTGTGCATTGTTCCGGGGTTCCGTGAGACCGCCTGAAGCCAAACTGGTGATTGGGGATTAGACCAGCCTCGTCTAGTACTGGCAATGCTCTACTCAAAAACACTCTTTCGAGTATTTTGGAGAGTATCGATAGGAGACTAATCGGACGATAAGAGGCAAGATCGGCTTCGGCTTTTCCGGGCTTAGGTATCATGGTTACCAGAGCATGTTTCCAGTTGGTCGGAAAGTACCCAATTTCTAATCACAGGTGGTATTTCGTCGTCGCCGCCTCGTGCGGGCTCTGCCAAGAGTCGTTCCGTTTCTGCTGCCTCTTCTGGCGAGCAACGGTAACGGGCAACGGATGAATACGCTTTTCAGGTGTTTGGCAAACGTGTTGGCTCGGTCCGTCTCTGACCTGCACGATCATCCGTCGGCTCGCTGAACTGGTGGGATCCTCTTAAGAGGACGTCGTATGCTTTTCGTGACGCGCCACAGATTACTTGTGGGTCACCCGGTTCCAACTGTTCAACAAACCCGTGGAACGCTTCCTTCCTCAAGTCCGTCAAAAGTTTAGAGAGCCACTTAGAGACTATATTCAGGATGGTCTTGTCCCTCGGGTTTCTGGACAGCATCCACACCCGCCTGAGTCAGCGCTTTTCTAGCTTGAGGGCCGTGAAGTATGCATTCTGACAGGATATCCCTGTCAGTGGCTCTCCAGTACCGAGTCCAGTCATCCTGTGATGGCGAAGTCCAGACCATCTGTGATCTTCGACGGATCTGTTGGTCAACAGGTTGGAGCGCCTGTAGCATGGCAGCGAAGATTACGAGCCCAGATTTGCCTAAGTCACGCCTCTTGGATTATTGACTCTGGAGCCCAACCCAGAGGGGGGGCTAATAGTAATAATAGGTGATAACTTCTGTCGCTTCAAACTGGCCTGCCCCGAGGAAGGGATGGAACCCTCGGCCTTGTGGTCCATTCCCATTTTAATTTTTCCCGTAACAAATAATAAAAGAGATTATTTTAAGATGAAATAATAATACACAATTATTTTTTAACTTTTTTAAATGTGTTATAGAAAACAAAAATGGGCAAAACAACGATTGCCGGGGTTGGCTAATATCTATATATATATAATCCTTTATAATCCTGTTCGACATACCTAAAATCGATGACATTACTACCTCATCACACTGACAAACTAACGCTACCATCGCATCTTTACTCAATTTAAACTAGGGCAAAAATCCTTCATCATTAAGTAAATACATTAATTATATTAATGAGTGTTTTGTACAATGAGCAATGACAAGAAAACGCAAAGGGCGTGATTTGAGCCGTGATACAAGTAGATCTCGAAACACGCGAAATATATAGGATCCGAAAGAATCGAAGAACAAATCCAGCAACAAAATACTGATTGACGTGTTAGAATAACGCAACTGCATCAAGAAGAGCCAGAAGATACACGAGTTGAACGCAATGAAGTCAGAAGATTAGAACAACGACAATCACGCCGTTTCACAGTCAATAGACGCAGAAAAAATGAAAAACAACGACAACAGGTACATCGAGCATTTATAACTGATACATTCCAGCGTCTAGCATTCCAGCCTTATATTGAGTATTATGCTCACTCAAAAGTGGTAATTGGTGCTATGGACAGAGAATGTCCGCATTGTCACGCTCTGAAATTCAAAAATGAGCCAGCTAGGATGTGCTGCGCGTCAGAAAAAGCAACGACAGTTGTTCCCACAAAGTTTTTGAACTCACTGGATTCGCGAGGCATGCCAACGCATAATGTAAAATTAAAGGTTGGATCTTCATTTATCATACTTCGTAATTTAAACCCGCCCCGACTGTGCAACAACACGCGATTAGTCATTCAAAAATTAATAAAAATCGTGATCGAAGCCAGCATTTTAAATGGAAAGAGGAAAGTTCAGAGGTGAAAATATACTAATACCACGGATTCTTATTATATTTACAGATGCGCCAATTCAATTCAAACATATTCAGTTTCCGATTAGATTGGCATTTGCAATGACTATCAACAAATACCAAGGTCAAACGATGTCTATTTGTGGCTTAGATTTAAGAACGCCATGTTTTTCACACAAACAATTATACGTAGCATGCTCTCGAGTGGGTAAACCATCCAGTTTGTTTGTGTTAGCTAAAGATGGACTAAGAAAAAATAGCACTAAGTTCACGCTATAGCACTAAGAGATTGACTTGCTGAATTACGATCGAATAATAACTTAAAAACAATGTTAGCCTTTTGTTATTTTTATATTCACTCGTGGTTCACAGCGCTCCAGATGACTTTATAATACATAAGACTAGAACTGAGTAAATTTTGTACAGAAATTATAGTCATTTGGTGGCAAAACGTTTTCTATGGACTGCTAATGGATCGGGTTTTCCTGTATGACGCTATAACTCCAGAACGCACGAACCGATTTACACGATTTTGCATTCGTTGGAAAGGTCTCAAGCTCATTGTTCTCTGTTGATTTTATGTGACAAACCGGCATTGGGTTTTCTGTCAAATTGTGAAAAAATTTGAAAAAATAAGTTATTAGTTTCCTAACATTTTAATTGGAAAACATCAAATCAGTCTCGTGTATTTTTATTCAATTTCAACAGCACGCATCTTGTCTTTAAGGTGGTAAGTTGAACTGTGTATATTATGTGGATCGTACATTTGAGGTTAAATTTACCACTCTATCCATAGTCCAAAATGCCTAGGGGACTACGTTCGAACATCGGCCACCGCGCAAGACATACAAGCCAGCAGGCAGAGTATTTAGACAACTTAAGCGAAGAAAGACGAAATGTAATAAGAGAAAATGCACGATTGAGACAACGCCATCGCTTGGCATTCCAATATAATCTCACTGCAAACTACTGTGATGATGAAAATTTAGATATTGGACCAATGACGACTATATGTCGATATTGCAATGCGTTAAAGTTAAAAAAAGAAACGGCTGGATTGTGCTGCGCAAGTGGAAAAGTCAAACTGGGTCCATTACTTACACCACCACAGCCACTGAAAACATTGTTCGATGGAAGTGATCCCGATTCCAACCATTTTCTTCAACACATCCTTCAATACAATAACTGCTTTCGCATGACTTCCTTTGGAGCTTATATTATTCGAGAAGGCGGCTTCATGTCGACTTACAAGGTAACAGATACAACACACAAAACCAATTACTCACACCAAAAAAATGAATTGCACCCCAGCAGTTCGCCGCACTAGTGCATGGGTGTCGAATTCACTATGCCCCTGGGGTAGACGAGTACCCACCAGTCAATACCTAAGGCATGTATTTCAGAGGCGAATTTAACTAAGGCATGTCATAGGCGGTGTACAATCGTCACCTCTTCGTATACCAATGAGTATCGAATTGGGGTACCCAAAAGGAGTACCCAAATACATACTACTAAGGGACATCGATTTAGGTACGGAATTGGGTACTCTATACAGTATAGCCACTTGGGTATCTACCAAGGGACAGCGATTTACATACCCAGAAAAAGATTTTTTTTTTCTTATAAATTTTTGTTTTTTATTATGTATAAAATTATTAAATATAGAATTACATTTAATTCATTTTTAAAAATTTATAAAATTATTTTACTTATCAGAAATTCACAGAATTACACCATTTTATTTGGCTTAAAAAAACTTATGTGTTACGTGTGCGAAAATTATGTGTTGTTGTTGCTGTTGTTGTTGTTGTTTGAGGCATATTTCCATTGCCGCCATCAGCAGAAATTACATCTAATATTATAAAAAAAAATCATTATTAAAACCAATATTTTTTTTAAATTCTTACCAAGTAGTGCTAAATATACATTTCACGCTGTTTTTAATGACTTTATACTCCATCATTAAGGAATCGCTTAGCATATTTTTTAAATTTCTGGCAACTTCACCAGGGCTGCAACAAATGCCTTATAATTGACGCCTGAAAATAAATTCTTTTCTCTTTTGCAAACCATAATTATAATTATTACCTTGTTTATCCTTTTTTATCACTATTTCACTGTCACTGTTTTTAATATTTATTTAGTGTTTTTATTATTTATTTATTATTTACCACACTTTCACGTCGTGTCACCAAATATGCTCAAGTTATACTGAAGCAAAAATCAAAAAAGAGAAGATTTTCGTTTGCGCTTTGTGGTGGAGTACCAAAGTATATACTCGCATCTGTTTAACTCCTTCTAGCAACAATAAGAAACAATTTACTGCATGTCCACTTTCTAAGCGGTCATTTCCTTTAAATGCTAATTTTCGTTTGCGCTTTGTTGTGGTGCGACCGTCGTACCCAAAAGGAGTACCAAAGTATATACTCGCAGCGTTATACAAAAAAGACATGAAGCAGAGAGTACCCAAGCCGCTATACCAATAGTAAGCGATATGGGTACCCACAAAAGAGTACCCAAATCCATACCCAAAAAGAACTATTGCCACCAGCCGAACTGCTGGGACATAACACATAACAACTACATATACACCAGTGGTGTAACAGCACACACCATCACTAGATCAGAAGTTACACCGTATTCTTCAACAAATGATTGTTTGCAATTACAGACAAGGACCAATATATAATTTTCATGGTCCAATGGTGCCAACACCAGATGCACCTCATCAATTTCTGCAAATATACATATATATTTCATTTCGTCGATGGTGGATCAGCCAAATGTGCGGTGCAATATTCAGGGAACACAACATTTAAAGAGACGAGTTATTGAACAGTTGCAAGTATTTTTTTACGCTAATAACGCTGTGGTTAATATGTTCAAAACACCATTGGAACGAATGCCATTGGCCCAAATTTGTCATAAGAGCGAATTTTACCCCAAAAGGTCAACATGTGCGAAAATTCAATGCAGCGGAGCAATATCATGCATCGTGTAATGGAGGCACATCGTTTGTACGACGCGTTAAAATATCCAACCATTTATTGGCAAGGGCAAGATGGATACATCACGTTGAAGATGGTCGATCCAATTACATGTACAATATTCACACACTTATTACTGCTATTATTGGTTTCCATTAACAATTCATTTAATTTTGCATAATAACGAATAAAAATCTAAGCGCAATGAATTATTATGCGTATCGTATGATGATTCGTACACATGAAGAGAATGTCATGAATTCCAACAATTCGCTGTCGACATGTATGTCAATGTCGAGACCGAACTTTTAGCGTTGATCCGATTCAATCAGGAAAAGCTACGATCTGAGGACTATATTCCCTTGCGGGATGCTATTCATTCAGATGGTGATGATTAGAGTATTGGACGTCTGACGATTAAGGTTTTGACTCAAAGTTTTGATGGATGTGCTCACTAAGTATCGAGTTTTGGGAGACACGTTGTTATATGTACTCGGTGGAATGGCAGCAGCGTGGACTACCGGCTCATATTCTTATTTGGTTGCTGAACAAATTACATTCAAATAAAGTGGATATCATATCAGCTGAAATTCCTGATCCAGTCACTGATCCCTATCTATACGACATTGTGACGACTCAGATGGTGCATGGACCGTGCGGTGCATTAAATCCATTATCGTCTGGCATGGCTGATGGAAAATGCACAATACGGTATCCGCGACCGTTAGTTGCTGAAACAGTCACCGGGACTTATGGATATCCAGTTTATCGTCGGCGTTCAAAAGAAGATTGATAGTTGTCATTCGGCCAAATCAATCCAATATTTGTGGCGTCGGAAAATGCGAATGACGAAATGAGCAAATTCCAAATGGGCAGATACGTCAGTACTAATGAAGCACTGTGGCGATTACATTCATTTAAAATTCATGAAAGACAAGGCCAATCGCTTAGTGTTTTCGGTATAAATTTGGAAAATCATTGTTTTTTATATGGGCAGTTACAGGTTGCGTGCTCACGATTTGGAAAACCATCCGCTTTGTTTATGTTAACGTCAAACCAAAGAACAAAAAATGTGATTTACCAAAAAGAAAACCATCATCTTATAACGGAAACCCACACATTTTCAAATATAAAACAACAAAAAAATGTCTCGATCTTTAATAACAAAACGAAATGTTACAGAAAACGAAGCTATCTGTGGCGAAACGGAGTTCACCGGGCTTGCTTGTTTTTAATAAAATAAAATTATTAATTATTATTAAAAAGGCATCGCACTATTATTTCTCTATTAATGAACAAATTTCCTTTGCCAGTCGGCACGCATCGCACTATTTTTTCTCTATTAATGAACAAATTTCCTTTGCCAGTCGCTTAAATTGATTGGCATACTCGCTGTTGGGATATTTTACAACCATAGGAACACCAGCTTCCGAGCAATCTGCTATGTGCGCATCAAGCGGAATAGAAATAAGCTTTAAAGGTAGAGATTCCATTGAAACGTCCTTTTTAAAAAACTCAATTCGGCTTTTGCAATTTTCACAAATAGAGTAGCGCATGTTTTCAACCACACCAAATATTGGTACATTCATTTTTTCATACATTTTAGCACCCCTTATTGTCACTTGTATCGAAGCAGTGTGGGGTGTGGATACAAGTATAACACCTGTAACAGGTACATGCTGATTAAGAGATAGATGCACATCGCCAGTGCCCGGAGGGGTGTCTATGACCAATATGTCCAACAGGCCCCAATCTGTTCCCTTTAGCAGCCGTTGAATAGCAGACATAACCAGTGGACCGCGCCAAATGATTGAGCCATCTAAAGGCGTGAGCATTCCCATCGATAGGCACTTAACATTATAGTTTTCCGGTGGAATCATAAGATTTTTATCATTTAAAAGTGGCTCGCTTTGTATGTTCATCAGCAAGGGGATGCTTGGTCCAAAAATATCACCATCTAAGAGGCCCACCCGTTTTCCAAGTCTGGCAAGGGTGCAGGCGAAATTCGCTAAAAAAAAATGGTAGTTGCACTTTTTTTCTGAGCTCCTTAAAATTTAGCCCACCTGCGATAGTGCTCTTCCCCACACCCCCTTTTCCAGATGCAACGACTATGATATCCTTCACACCAAATAAAGTCTCTTTTTTGGGCAAGCTGCGGGCCATCAAAAGTTTTTGGTGATGATTTAATTTCGTTGCATACGAACGCAGAGAAAAATTTATATGTGAACCTAGCATTGCTAATGTACTTAATTTTTTATTATATGTTCTATAGGTTCAGCGTGACCAACCTAATAAAGATAAAAAATACTTATTGAAACAACAACAAAGTTGTTTTCCATATTAAAAAATACCAAATAAACAACGGTATTAAAATATATTTTAAATTTTAAGCATTGTACTGAGATGACGAAAATCCGCTGTCGAAAATCCTTTAGCGAAATCGCACTTTATTCAGCTACCGAGCTAGTGTGACCAAAAAAATTAAGGAAAAGGGTAATACTGAACAGCTGTTGTTTGTAAACAAATAAGCAAAAATGAATTCAAAACGATTGGATGTTGGTGTTTTGTTTATGTATTTCGCCGCTAATATGTATTAAGCTGTTCAGTAATACTCATTTCCATTATTTTTTTTTGGTCACACTAGTTCGGTAGCCAAATAAAGAGCGATTTCGCTAGCACACGTGTGACAGCGGATTTTCGTCGTCAAAGTACTAGGTTTAAGGAACAAGGCACAGCTTAATCCGCGCCGCTCGATGCCTTTCAGCGCCTCCAAAGTCCTGTATAGCTGCTCCAAGAATTCCGCCATATTATGAAGTACGGCGAGTTTTGTTCCACTTAACCGCAAATAGAATTGTGGAACATGTATATGTATAAATGTATAAATGTTTATGCGCGGGCGAATGCACTTGCAAGTGAAACCTATGTACGTATTTATATGTTTTGGCGAGTCTATTTTGTTTTTATTATATTACTAGCAGTACCCTGCCACGTTTCGCTGTGGCATATTGTTGTTGCACGCATAAAAAATAAGTCAAACAAAAAAGAATAATTTTCAAATTAATTAAATTCTGTAATACTTGTGGGTATACAATATTCTTTCTCCTCCTTAATCATTCATTATTATTTCTGTATTTTAGTACATAGGTTGCTCTTCACTTAAGCACCTTGTGATACACGACATTTTTTGTTTTATTATCAGGCGCAAAAACAAACAACGCAGATGGTCTTCCGACCCGTGAACATGCCACGTATAATTGACCATGGGAAAAACATGAATGTTCTAGATTTAAACCACAAACTTTTAAGGATTGGCCTTGTGATTTGTTGATTGTCATGGCAAATGCAAGACGTATCGGAAATTGAAGTCTTTTAAATTCAAACGGCATATCGGTTGGGATCATCGGGATCCTCGGAATGAGAACTTCCTCACCTTTGAATTTTCCTATCATTATCGTAGCGTAAATTACATTGTTCATCAATTTACTAACCACCAAACGCGTACCGTTGCACAGTTTTGGTTGGTTTATGTTTCGAAGCATGATTACTACGGAGCCAACCTTTAGGCGTAAATTGTGCGGTGGTAAGCCAGGCACGTCCAAAGAGTTTAAAAATTCAATTGGATAGTTGGTGGCTTCATCTTCATTTGTGACGCAGTCAATAGATTTGAATGAATGCATTGTTCCAATGATCTTATTTTGAATTATGTAGTTCAGGTCATCTACATCTTTATTCTTAGCCGCTAAAATTGCTCGCTCACTCAACCATTCATTATTTTTGTAGTTAGAAATAATATTTGGAAATACATTGTTGATAAGTTCGTCTTTTGATGAAACAAAATTACAGAAATTATTTGGAAATGATATTAAACCGCTCGATTCATCGACAGGTACTTGACCATTACCGATAGTCAGCAATTGCTCCGAGAAATCTTCAGCAGATGTATCATTAAGCAATGTAACTCTCATGTTTGTTGTCAGCTGCAGTTTCTTCACATAGCGCCATAGATTTGACGATTTGAGGCAAGCGTTTATTTCGTCTGCAGCCGTAGATCTTGGAATTACTGGCAGTATTTGGCGGAAATCGCCAGACAGTAAAATCATTGCTCCTCCAAAACATCTCGAGTCATTGCGTAAATCTTTTAATGTTCGGTTAAGTGCTTCTAATGCACGTTTATGCGCCATTGTGCATTCGTCCCAGATGATGATTTTCGATGTCGCTAAAACTTTAGCCATTGCTGAGTGTTTTGCAATATTACACGTTGGTTCTTCAATAGTTTGAAGATTTAACGGTAATTTGAATGCTGAATGAGCCGTACGGCATCCTTCTAACAATGTGGCTGCAATTCCAGAAGAAGCAACTGCAACCGCTATGTTGGATCTCGCCCGAACAGTTGCTAAAACTAATGACATAAGGAATGTCTTGCCAGTTCCACCAGGGGCATCTAGGAAATATAAACCACCATTTTCATCAGCGATTGCCTTCATTAAAGTATCATAAACTTCCTTTTGTTGGTAATTCAACAGGGGTACATTCCTTTGAACTACTAAATCTAATTCCTGGTGATCATATTCACGTTCCCGTTCCAATTCTCGATTAAATGCGTCATTCATTTCACGATTTGGCGCTGGCATTCCTAACCTGATTAACAAATTACCGCACATGAGGTAACACATATCTTCGATCAAGAGTAAAGCACGATTATGTATCTCCTCATTCATCTCAATATCGTGATTTCTGGAACTAACACGTCTTTGATGTAAAATATCTTCTGACATACTATCCTTGTATTTGTGCCACAGGTTACATGGGTTTGATGGAAAACATGTCGAAATTATGATAGCGAATAATGTGCGTATCAGATTCGACCGTCTTGGTCGCGGCATTATTAATTAAACTTCACTTCACTTCAATCCACTTGTTAATTATTTATTTAATAGAAATAGTTTTAATATTGATTTCAGCGCAACACAATCTTTTTGGTTCGTTGTTAAATTTGAGAGCCTGACTATGAATTTGACTTCGTTTGTAACTGACATTTTGACATTTGACATTTTCTTCTTAGCTGTCTGCCTAAATAAAAAAGTATGGGCCAGGGAGGAACGCTGTCGAACGGGACAAAAAGTATCCTATGTCCTTCTCCTGGCTCTAAGCTACCTCCCTACCAATTTTCACTCAAATCTGTTCTTCCGTTCTTGATTTATAAGTGGTGTAACATAAAACACGATGTTCTTTTATATATATAGATTAACTCTATTAACTAAATCACAAAGGAGTCACCAATGATTGGTCATTGAGATTTTTTAAAAAAATTAATCCGCTCAACAATAAAACAACCGAAATTAGTATTGAACGTTATTAAAATATTAAAACTTGAGCCACATGAGACTGAATGACCTAAAGATAGACCAGTTTTAATGCTAAGCGGTTGAAGAATTATTATAAGCAAGGCTTGGTTTTTTTTTTTGTTTGATTTAGTAATTTTATTTAAAAACAATAAAGAAAGTGTTTCTTCGGGTGGATCCGAAGTTGATACCCTTAAGTACCTTTGAGTCGGATATAGTGAGCCTATGTGAATTTTAAAAGTCCTTTAGAATCCATAATGAATACCAAAAATGGGTCATTTCAGATCGTTCGTTATATATATAGACAAACAATCTATATATAGATATAGGTATACTGGCAAATATATATGGGATATATATACAGGCAGATGCACATATTTAGTAGATCGACTATATCTTGAGTTTAAGAGTTATCCCAGATATAAACTATGTACCGAGTTGAGGAATCTCAAGGGCTATCTCCAAACGAAACATGACTTAAATAATTTTTTTATGTTTTTTGCGCTTGGTCTTAAAGACTAGTACTCAGATTCGACAAAAAGTGGTTTTCAGCTTTGGGAGCAAGCAAGAGGCAAATGCGTGAAAAAAAGTTTTTGTTTTTTAACTTCGGAGAAAGCAAGAGGCAAAGGGGTGAAAACACTTTGGTATTCTCGATCGAAAAAAAATACAAGAAATTAACATGGAATGCCAACAAAAACCAATAACCGTTGTACAGATACATCCTAGTACTGAAATTGAAAATTATGTTTGAAGAGTGAAAACGTTTATTCTTTCCAGTGTAAACGTTTTATTTTCAAGTTACGCACTACGGTCCCTCCTAAAATTGATTTGAATTAGAGTTTAAAAATGTACAATGTTGGAAGCAACTGATTTAAGTAGATATTCTATTATCATAGAAATCCTTTGTTGATTCTCAATTTATTTAGGTGTACAAATACTTTTTTTAAAAGGATTTTTGTTCAAATTGGCGCCACGGGTGCCATGACATTGGCATCAGTATATGGTTTGTCCAACAGATCCGAAGTGGCGAAAAGAATTTTTACTAAAGTAATTAGATCTAAAATTTTTAGCGTTTGCAAAAACAAAAACAGACCGAAAAATATCTTGCACTGACCCTTTCAAACTGAATGAACGATTAAAAGTTTTAATCTTTTCGCTAGGCACCTGTAAAACGTTCTTTGGTGCGGGATGGCATCCCCATGTAAATTTCGATCTGAGAACAGGGTGATCCAGACAAAAACAGTTTTTGTCGGTCTGAGTACTAGGCTATAGCTGAAAAACAGGCTTTGTCGATCTTATTACCATATCATACAATTTTATCATGGTCATCTAAAGACACAACAAATACTAAAAAATACATCAAACATTTTTTTAAATATCGACATATTCATGTTTTAATATGTATTTTTAAAAATCGACATATTCATGTTTTAATATGTCGATAATATCGCTGTTATCGACGATTCTCCACCTCTAAAACAACGTGTTTTAGTACATAACAAATCAAATAAAATAAATAGAAACTCGCACGTCAACAACTACTCGGATATATAAGGCTTCCTGCATTTCGTTAAGTTGGAATTGTAGGAGCTGTAATAAACATGTCAGTCTACACAACAAAAACATCAATTTTGAAGACCTTCTCCGGAGCCGATCGGGAAAGGGCCAAAGTTATTGCCGCAAACAAAGTACGATTTGCCACGCCAAAGGAAAAAGGTCTTGCAGAATCGGTTCGCGCGGCATCAGAAGAACAAAATTTCCATTTGGTTCAAGAGTTTACCTACTTTTTAAAAGAAGCAGAATTAGATGTATGTTTATTTATTTAAGTGTTGCTTGTTATATGTAGATTAACTTTAAAAATTTTACTTAAAGGATGAAGAACTAGAAGAAATTTTAAAAGACGCTCAAAAAATTGTTCACAATTTAACCCCCGATTTTGTCAACGTTGTGGAAGCCTTGCTGTCACTTAATTGGAGAAAACGTAGCTGCAAAACTATAGAAGCTTTTACCGAATTCAGTATTGAAATTTTGGTTGCACATAACAGATACTTACCTATGGGAATATCAAAATTTATCTCGCATTGGATACCAAACGATCAAGACGGAGCTGACTGGGTGAATGGTTGCCCATCAAATCAAATCTACTGTGAGCTTAAGCCAATTCACGATGTGCTTAATCGTATTATAACCGCAGTGCCTATGGCTTTCGACGTTATTGTTGATACAATATCTTCAAAGTTTCCTTATTTTAAAAAGCCTGCACATGTAACTTCAGGATTTTTATTTAATTTACTTTGGCTATTGGATTACAAACCTGTATTTGAGGAAATAATTTTGCAGCTGGTTCTGCAAAAGTAAGTATAAATGAGTTATAGAATTAGGAAATAATAATTCGGAAATAATTCGAAATAACAAAAATATATGTATATCTCCTAGAATGTCAACATAAGCTTGTCCGCCTGTAAACGTAAGCTAAACTTATATTTTTAAATCTGTGAAAAGATTCATTGGCAAAGAAAAAATGCAAGTTCGAAAACGTCTTCCGTGTAACATAAAATTATAAAGTATGTACATACATAGATGGGACATCAGGGCACAAAACGGTCAACTTTTTTTCGTCGAGCTTGTTGGTGAGGGGGGAACGCACATGAATAAGATTCTATTTTTAGAACTCTTTATATGTATGTATGTGTAAAAAAAGAATGTGTGGCTTTTTATGTATGCGTCACTGCTCTCACGAAGTCGTAAAAATTTTTTGGCTTCCAAATTCTGGATTCTTTTTCCAATGCGCCGATGTAGTAGCAGAACAAATAGTATTTTTGATCATTTTTTTTTGGAGTTAGGATGGTAGCGTAAGTTAGTTAGGATGGTGGCGTAATGTCTAGGTAGCCTATGGTAGCGTTGCTCAGTATACAATTTTTCTATGTTCAAATCCTCCTAAGGATTCGGACTTTTTCTTTTTTTTTACAGTTATTGTTATACCCTTGCGAGGGTATTATAATTTTGTCCAAAAGTGTGCAACGCAGTGAAGGAGACATCTCCGACCCTATAAAGTATATATATTCTTGATCAGGATCACCTCCTGAGTTGATATGAGCATGTCCGTCTGTCTGTCCGTTTCTACGCGAACTAGTCTCTCAGTTTTGAAGCTATCGTCTTGAAACTTTGCACACACCCTTTGCACGCAGTATATAAGTCGGAACGGCCCGGATCGGCCGACTATATCCTATAGCTGCCATATAACTGATTGATCGGAAATGGTATAACTTTGGTGTTTTTAGAGTTAGAGAGTTCAAATTTGACAAGAAAACTATTTTTGGCAAAACATTACGACATGCCAAATTTCATAAGGATCGGCCGACTATATCTTATAGCTGCCATATAACTGAACGATCGGACTTGGTAGAAATATCAACTTTCGTATTTTTGAAGATAGAAGTTTGGGACTTTTTTTAGATTTTTTATTTTAGTTAATTAGTTTTATTATGATGTAATCATAAGGATCGGCCAACTATATCCGATGTTTGCGATATATATCCGGTTTTAACTGCAAGGGTATATAAACTTCCGCTCCGCCCGAAGTTAGCTTTCCTTTCTTGTTTTTATTTATCTTTAATTGTAGTATTAAGTAAAAAAATTAAAAATTATGTCCGGGTAATGAAATTCGAAAGGAGTCCGTTCGTCATTTTTTCATCCGACGCTTTACTTATTTTTACAATTGTAATAGAATGCAATTAAAAAGATATCGTCAGCCGATCGTTATGAAATTTGTTAGGTCGGATTATTTGACCAAAAATATAATCTGTACTAAGTTCCATATTTCTATCTTCAAAAACACAAAAGTTGGGTCATTTCCGATCAATCAGCTATATGGCAGCTATAGGATATAGTCGGCCGATCCCGGTCGTTCCGACTTATATACTGCGTGCAAAGGAAAGAAGAGTGTGTGCAAAATTTCAAGTCGATAGCTTTAAAACTGGAGACTAGTTTGCGTAGAAACAGACAGACGGACATGCACATATCAACTCAGGAGGTGATCCTGATCAATATTATATATACTTTATGGGGTCGGAGATGTCTCCTTCACTGCGTTGCACACAAGGGTATTAAAAAGTGGATGTCTCGAGCCTGGTTTGAACTCGTTTCACTCTGCACATCAGTCAAGCACTCTAGTTCCAGCTTTGAAACCCGCCACAGAAATATAATATAACGTTCGTATAACTCAGTGAGGGGCAAACTCTCATTTTCCATAGCACGCGTGCATAGGGTAGGAAATTCTGTCGCAGCGCTATCGACACACTGAGAGTGTGAGCACTTTCAAATTTTTTTTAGAAGCTCTCTCATTTGCTCTCATTTGACAGCCCAAACTTAAAAATCAAAATTTTTCCACAGAGAAAAATTTTCTCAAAAATTGGGTTGGAAAAAGTTTTCTCCACAGAAAATATAGATAGGAAAGCGTAGTTTTTTATTTGTTAGAGAACTTTTTCTTCATCTGCATGCAGAAATTAACATTTTTTATAACGTTCATATTAAATAAAAATGCGTCTTTTTATTTACGGCATTGAAAATTATCAATGACCTAACACTTGTCTTTCCGATAATATAGTAATAATATTATAATCGATAACATTCACTATACTTATTTTTTCAAAAAGTCATATAGTAAGGGTTTGGTGAATCTTTCCTAGCTCTTGGCTGATGCTGCTTTTATGGCGGTCTCTCGACCAATTCAGCAATTTGTTCGCAATTTTAGACACACGAATTTTCGAAACGTGGCGCACCTTCGACTTTGGTTTTCTTCCGAAGGTACATGCTGCCATTTGGATGTCGTACTTAGTTTCAAAATCTTGCCAATTCGGTTGGAGATGAAAGTCTTCAATGTGTCGGATTTCCTTTAATCCAATATAGTACGATGGAAGCACCAGTCCAGAAATTAACGGACTCAGGTTGATAAAAACTGCGTGCTCACTCTCCCGGATTGATATTGTTCGGGTAGTTTATGTGACTGTGGCTCACCGGTCTGGTGACCAAGCCATCAAGGTATTTTTAACTTCTCAATGTTTGGTAAATGATATCAGAGTTTTTTACATCGCGCTTGAAGAATTGAAGGTAACGGCCCGTGCAATCGAGAGCAGGTTGGTTCTTGTCGGATGTCTCGGGTCGCCACTGCCAGATGTCTTTTAGAATACTCTGGGCAGCAGTAGTGACAGGAACTATAAAGCCTAAGGGATCGTAGAGGCGAACGACTACTGAAAGAAAGTAACATTTATTAAAGGAGGCCGGAATATCAAATCGAACCTTGAAGCTATAGAAGTCCTCGTATGGGCTTCAATAGAGTCCCAGAGGTTTAATAGTCTCTTTGAAATTTACTTCTACATTTATTTTTTGAGCCATGTGCTGGTCCGGAATTCCGGATAAGATCTGTGTATGATTTGATGCCCATTTCATGTGTTCTATTCCTGCCGATTTTAGGGTAGCGATAATTTGATTTCGTATTTCCAATGCTTTATGAATAGTGTTCTGACCAGTTTGGACGTCGTCGACATATACTTTATTTAATAATACTGGAGTTTTTAATAAGAACCGATGTTTTACGTCGTGAGCAAGTTGACGGAGCATGCGTATGGCTGTATACGGTGCTGATACAGTACCAAAGGGACATTATTTAGGCTATATTCGGTAATTTCGTTTTGATCATTTCTTTATAAGATGCGTTGCGATACATGTAGCCTCCATTTTATGATGATTCCTCCTAAATCATTTTGCAGCGGTGGGCCGATGCACAATATGTCGTTAAGGGATTTTCCGTTCGAAGTGGTACATGATGCATGGTACACTACCCGAACTTTGGTCGTCGAGTTGTCCTCGACGAGAGCCCGTCGAAATAATGTTGACATCTTGAAGTAATCATGTGATGTCGAGCTTTGCTTTGGTGACTTCGTAGAGTTTCTTAGGGTCAAAATATTCCTTGATGGTGACGTGATGTTGTTGTTTAAGGGTGTCGTTTCTGTATAGCCGACGTTCTAAGTGGTGGAATCTATTAAGCGCGATTTGGTGAGACTTCCGATGACTTGTTCCTTGTCAAATTCAGCTTTTGACGGAAGCTGGACCAGGTATTTTCCATTAGGTTGCCTGGTGCAGGTATGCTGAAAATGATCTTTACACCATTATTCTTCTGCTGTGTACGTCCTGTCAGAGCTGATTTGATCGAGATCGAAAAAAACTAAAGATTAGTAACATCGAATGGTTACCACATTTGCCCTTGTTTCATTGCTATGGCCAAACACGATCCAACCTAATACAGCGAGTTAAGCAATCGGTTGATTTGGAGGTCCTTTAGATCTACCCTAGATCTACTCCAAATATAGAGTCGATGCGGCTTGACCTGGTAAAAATGGGATCGGCCAAGTGTAATCCCTGAAGATGCTGATAAGTTTCCACGTTGACATTGCTTCTTGGTAAATGAGAATTCATCGAGTTGAGATGGTGAAATTGAGAATTCACAGAATTTTGGAGAATTCTGTGAGACAGAAAAACTATGTGTTTAATGTCGGTAATTATTTGTATGATTATAGAGTGTGGTAAATTTTGGTATTTTTTAGGAATTGTATTGTTTTTTGAATATTTTTATATGAGGTAATTACAGCTAATGTTTGTATTCGAAGTTTCGATCTGTCTTGCTGCAGGGCAGGGCAGTCAACGAATATATGTTGTAGGGTTAAAATTGTGTTCCAGTTTTGGCAGATCGGTGGTGGGGTTTTATTGATTAAGTGGCTGTGGGATAAGTTGGTGTGTCTTAGTCTTAATCTCGTGAGAGTTGTTTATTGTGGATTCGCTGTCGTGGTTAATTTGTTCGTAGTGGGTGTGGGTTGCGGAATTGTTGAGTATTGAGTTATTAATAGTTTGGGTTTCCCGATTTTCTTTTGGTTGTTTTGCAGGATTCGAGGAAAATTATGCGCGTTTTTTGACATGGCCGATCTCTTGTAAAGCTGAGAGGGAATAAGTGAATATTGCAAATTTCCCTCGGTGTTTTCTGGCGTAATTGCATGCTTTTAAGATTGGTGATATTTCGGCCTTGTATGTATATGGAGGAGTATTGTGGTATTATATGGTGTTTGATGATATATTTTTCTGTTTTACGCTGAATCAAACGCCGTCAGCTAATTTGGACCCATCTGTCTAGAGGATTTGTATATTTGGTAATGTGTTTTTTATTTTTAATTCATTGAATTTTAGTTGGTAGGCCACCCATCTTTGGGTATTGTGTGTAGAGAAGTGTTTATGTTTGCGTTGCGACTTATCCAGTGTGGGGTCGTTTCTTTTTTGCATACTGCCGGTAATATGTGAATATTAAGATTTGTAAATTATTTTAATGTGTTGTGTAGTGACGACGGTAGTTTTGGTGTATTTTTTGAGTTTTTAATTTTGTAGTATATTTTTTCTATTGGAAAGTGTTTGGAGTTGATTATAGTTTTGGAATTGTTATTTCTATGGTCTATTGGTAGTATGTTGAATTCGTGGATAAGATTGTTGATTGGGGTTGTTCGGAAGGCGTTAAAAGCTGAGTTGTAAAATGTTTTAAGGGGTTACGCCACCCTGAAATTTTCAAAAAATTTCATTTTTTTTTAAATAAATTTAAAAGACTATATTCTTACGCCTATTTTAAGACGTCCCCGAAGACAATATCTTGATAATTATGGAAGTTATGTTCATTTGAAGTCGGCGCGGCAGGAGGGCACCTAAGACACTTCTTTTTCTTCTTTTACGTTTTTCTCGAAACCACTTTTTTCAAGACGGTGGGCATGATAACGCAAAACTGTTCAACCGATTGACTTGAAAATTGAAACACATCTTCTTACATCGATTTTCCATAGAGTAACGTAGGATTTTTTCGATTCAATGGATAGAAATTTTTTTATGCAATTTTTAGTACGAAATTTTTTGCCTGACTCAAAAAATTAAGTCAATTTTTAAAATGCTTGCGTAATTTTTTTTTTTTTTTCTTAAACGGCTACGTCACTCTGTTCCAAATTTATCACTTTTAAAAAAAAAATGTTGTTTACTTGTTTCGGATGAAAATTGATACGTGAATCATGCCCACCATCAAGGAGCACTCCGGAAAAACCGATGATCGCCGATGTTCATATCTCCGCCATTTAGCATTAAAAACAAGTTTTTTTAGAATTTATAAAGCTCATTACTTGTATTGAATAGAAATAAAAGTGGAAAAATCCTATCTCAACTAGTTTAGTCACAAGAAATTCCCGAAAAACCGTCCCGTTTCCACGCGGTCAGGGTGGCGTAACCCCTTAAGCTTGCTTAGTGTGGTTTTAGGTTGACATATATGTGTAACCCGTAGTTAACTTTAGACATTAGATCGTATAAAATTGTATAATCCAGACATCCAGATAGACATTTGATTACGTCGAGTCTTTTGGCTAGTTCGAGAATGAGGTTTTCTACAAGTATTTTTTATTTATTTTATTTCGAAGAAACGATCATTATCATTAACAATGATACATTATTCTAAATTATTATAACTAAAAGTAAGGATAAATTAAGCTTAAAGAGATTCCATAATTTTGGATTTAATTACATTCAGGGATAGTTCAGGGCACAATAAATGTTCAGCACAATTAGACCTAGAAATTGGTAACCAAAGGGGGTCGGAAGGATCTAGTTACTCTATTAGGAACAAAAAACATTATTTTTCAAGAAGTACCTGTCCAAGAATAAGCACATGAAGTAGCATAACCCCAGCCCAAGTACGGCGCTCTTTTAATGGAGGTAGGCTTAATAGTTAGAACCGGGTTTTGATCCATTTGTATATTTTGGTTACTGTGATTCTAAGTATATTTTTCTTGCTTGCAATTTAATGTGAAGTCGTCTGCGTACCCAGTATATTCGATTTTTTATGCCTAGCTAGTATTTTATTTAGTTGGTTAAAGGCTATCGCAAAAAGTATAATGGAGATCCTGCGGTATTCCGTTGTGTAGTGGTTTCAAGTTAGAGTACGATTTGCTTGCTAGAACTGTGATTTTTCTGTTGGTGAGAAAATTTATTGTGTAGTTCAGGATAGTTGGTTCTATTTTCTCAAGTGTGGAGCTCGTCGACGGTTCTGTGAATGCCTATCCTATCAAACGCTTTGGCGAATGTACAAAAAATTTTTTAATATTTATTAATATTTTTCCAACAAAATTTTAAAGAAGCGTTCGAAAAGTATGAAAAGAAGCGTTTTGCTCCACTGAAGAAAATAAACAATAAAAAACATTCGAAACCCCAACGCACTCGGTTTGAAAGCAAGAGAATGCCCATGACTCACTTAATTCGTTGTGTCTCTTGCACTCATTCATTCCATTCGATTGTATTCTATGGCTGAGACAATAAGAAAGTAGATGCAGACTTTTAATCTGTAGCCGTTGTAAGAAACATCATTTCAGTGATCTCGTTTTTGTCGGTTTGGAATATCCTAAAAAAGCCCCAAACTTGTATCTTCAAAAATACCAAAGTTCCGATCGTTCAGTTATATGGCAGCTATAAGATATAGTCGGCCGATCGTTATGAAATTTGGCAGGTCGGATCAACTGACCAAAAATATAATCTGTACTAATTTCTATCTTCTAATTCTGTTTGTTCAGTCATATGGCAGCTATAGGATATAGTCGGCCGATCCTTATGAAACTTGATAAGTCGTATTATTTTGGCAAAAATAGAATCCATAGAAAATCCCATCTTTCTAGCTCGAATAACACCAAGCTATTGCCATATCCGATCAACCAGTTATATGCCAGCTATAGGATATAGTCGCCGGATCTGCTCTGACTTGTATACTGCGTGCAAAGGATAGAAAAGTGTGTGCAAAATGTATATAACTTTAAAAATGAGAGACTAGTTTGCGTAGAAACAGACAGACAGACGGACATGCTCATATCAACTCAGGAGGTGATCCGGTTCAAGAGTATATATACTTCATAGGGTCGGAGATGTCTCATTCACTGCGTTGCACACTTTTGACCCAAAATTATTATAGTCTCTGCAAGGGTATACAAATTTGTTTTAGCTGAAATTTTTTGATGAAATTGTCAAAAAAAAATGGACCGATCCATTTTTGAGAAACACGTGTAAAGTTATCTGGCTCCCTTTGAGGTACTTTCACTTGTCCATACAAGTTAACGTATAGCTCCAAAAATAATTATCAGATTGAGTTAAAATTTAATGGACATGTAAGACCTTGTAGATTATCTTCACATGTATTAGAATAAAATAAAAAACAAATTGTTGATTTTTTTCAAAATCGTAAATGCGTACAACCTCTCAGAGGTCAACAAAGGGGTGAAAAAATCGTTTACTAGTCATTAAACTTGAACAAGAACTGTCGTTTTGTAAAATTAAGATAAAACATGAAAATCATGAAAAAAATGCGGAGCACGTTTTGTCAAATAATGTAAAAGAAAATAATAATAAAACACTTGACTTCTGCTCTCCTTACTGGTGGTTTTTTAGTACTTTTTTTTTAGCCTTGCAGATTTATTCTCTAATCATTTTATTAACCAGTTTATTCTCTAGACACCCTGCTATATTTTCGGTTATTCGAAAATCTTTCCAATTATTTTATGACTGCCAAATATGTCTACATTTTTCACACCTAAAGCTTAAAAATCTTAAAATCTTAATCTTAAAAAAAGTTTTTTATGACTTAAAATTTTTTTAGACTTTTAGTTCTAGATGTAAACGCTCCTAGAGATGAAATTAACCTTGAAAATAGTTGCAAGCAAATGGAGGAAGCTATATTTCACATGGATGATATAACTGTCTCACCCGACACGAATAACTCAGAAGAAACGGTGGATCATCCTATTGGACAATGTCTTGATGTATGCCTGCATATGCTCTATAAATACTTTGATAAAAAATGCAGCATAAAATCCATTTTCACTGACCAAGAACGATGCACAGCAAATCGAATTTTCAAAATACTCCTTTTCACTTTTGATGACGTTTTATTACCGAGCCATAACACCCACCATGTTCAATTTGTTATGTTTTTTATAACTAGCTTGCGACAAACTTATTATGAAGCTTTTCTTAGTTCGCTATGGCAAAAAGTACAAAACCCTAATGTATCCGCGATTATACGACATGGTGCCGTTGGATATTTGGCAAGCTTCTTAGCAAGAGCAAAATTCGTACCACTTTGGTAAGTATAGAAAGTTTCTATTAGAAACGTACACTCAAATATTGTTAACCTACGTTTTTTTCAGTACATTACAGTTATACTTGATGAAATTGTCCAAATGGGCGCATTCTTACTTAGACGATTCCGATGAATACAGTCAAAATTGCTCACTAAAATCAAACTTAGTCTTCTTTTCAGTTTGCCAAGCTATTTTTTATTTAATAGCTTTTCGTGTGAAAGATTTGACGGCTACTACCAACGGTGAATATAATGGTGTTTTCCGTTTATCCAGGAATAAAAAAATATATATTATTTAGATTTACTGTTTCTACAGACTCTTCAACTTTCTCGGCTCGCAATGTGCCATTTTAATCCTTTACGATACTGCTTAGCTGCAGTAGCTACGGCATTTGCCGGTGTAACTCGAACATATCAGTTGGCCTACTGTCATACTGTTCTCGAACGCAATGCGCGCCGCAAACTAGCCACTGTTTACGGCCATGAAAAGTCAATGCCAGAAGAAACACTAGAAACGTTCTTTCCTTTCGATCCATATTTGCTAAAAATGTAAGTATTCTTTAAACAAACTTTAATATTTATATGAAAAAGTTTTTTTCGTTTAAGGTCGAATAAGTTTATTGAAAATAACTACCTTATCTATCAAGGAAATGCAGATGATAATGTGTCGCCAGAGCCTCTTCGACGAAAAAGAGGTGACTCTGAAATGGTAGATGATGACGACTTTATTAAAGCGGATAAACGGCAGAAACTTTTAGAACTATCTAAAAGTCAGGAGTTTGAAAAACACTTTCATTTTGGATCTTCTCCAGGCTTTAGTAAATAATGATTTTATTAATTATTTCATTTATTTACTAAGTAACTACTACTACTTAGACGTTATATAGAAATAAACTGTTTTCGCAAATAAACCGTTTAAAAAGTTTTGCTGATTTAAAATATACAATGTACAATATACAATGCTCAACTTTTTATTTTAAAGATTTAAAAAAAAAACGCAGGCTTAGAAATAATGCAAATCATTAACCATGGAAGGGTATAACAAGAATAAACTTTTTTCGGTGCATGTAATTGGTTTAATTTTTCCCTGAGCAAAAACAGTTAGATTAACTAAAAATAAAAAACGTTATCATATAAAATACATAATTAAATAAAACCATTTTTCATAAAATTATTTATTAATTTTTTTTTCATAAAAAGATAAAATTCACCTAAGATATGTCAATTAGAGCCTACAATTGCATCGTTTCAAAAAATATATAATTCGACATTTTCCCTGTACGTTCTTGAGTTCTTGTATGCAATTTGAAGCATGTTATATTTAAAGAAAAAATTACCTAAAAGCTTTTGAATCAATGTATCAAATATGTGTCGGGGGGTCTTGAACCTAAATATAACCTATCAATAACGATCTTGGTACAATGTCACGTATCTCTTTTGCCTACCCCCTGTTAAACTCTGGGCTTTAGTACAAAACTCGTACAGCATTCTTGTATTATACCCGGTACTCGAAGAGTAACGGAGGAATCATCTCCGACCTCTTAAAGTATAAGTATATGGTGTAGTCACCAAAAAACTGGCACACCAAGTGCGCAAAAGGTCACACAAGAACCGTTCACCTGTGTCTCCTGAACGAACGGTCTGTGCTTAACCAAAAACAAATTTTGCATGTCCTTTTTCTCTGGTCATTCGCTGACCATTTTGCAACGAGCGAAGAAATTAAAAGTCTTTTGCGTTTGTATGAGTGTATGCATATGCGAATGACTTGTAATTTACATGTTGTAAGCCACATGTAAATGATAATGATATAAAACTGCAGTCGACCCATCTGAGTGCGCTAAATACTGAATGTTTGTGGTCATTGAGATTTTTCAATGCCGTAAATAAAAAAGGCAAATTGTGCAATCGTTATAAGAATTGTTTATTTTCTGCATGCAGATGAAGCAGATCAGCTTATGAGGGCTGATATACAGAGAGAGCAGCCCGACTAGTCACTGCTAAGCTAAAGCTCTCGATAATGATGAGGAAGGCATTGAGTAGCTAGTGAAAAAATAATAAATATAATGTTAAGATTTGATAAATATCAGGGACCGTAATTGTTATAATTTTTAAAATAAAAATTATTTGTTGATTTTTATGACAAAAATTGAAATATAACTCTTATTTTCAATTTTTATAATAATAATTAAGAATAAGAATTATTTTTCAATTTTAATAAAAAAAAATAAAAATAACAAGAAAGCAAAGCTAACTTCGGGCGGAGCCGAAGTTTATATACCCTTGCAGCTATAACCGGATATATATCGCAAACATCGGATATAGTTGGCCGATCCTTATGATTACATCATAATAAAACCAATTAATTACAATAAAGAATCTAAATAAAAGTCCCAAGCTTCTATCTTCAAAAATTCGAAAGTTGATATTTCTACCAAATACCATTTCCGATCGTTCAGTTATATGTCAGCTATAAGATATAGTCAACCGATCGTTATGAAATTTGGTAGATCGGATTGACTGACCAAAAATAGAATGTGTACCAAGTGCCAGCTTTCTATCTTCAAAAACACGAAAGTTGGGTCATTTCCGATCGTTCAGTTATATGGAAGCTATAGGATATAGTCGGCCGATCCTAATGAAATTTTGTAGGTCGAATTAACTGACCAAAAATATAATCTGTACCAAGTTCCAGCTTTCTATCTTCAAAAACACGAAAGTTGGGTCATTTCCGATCGTTCAGTTGTATGGCAGCTATAGGATATAGTCGGCCGATCCTTACGAAATTTAGCATGTCGTATTATTTTGCCAAAAATAGCTCTCACCTAAAATTTGAACTCTCTAACTTTAAAAACACCAAAGTTATACCATTTCCGATCAATCAGTTATATGGCAGCTATAGGATATAGTCGGCCGATCCGGGCCGTTCCGACTTATATACTGCGTGCAAAGGAAAGAAGGGTGTGTGCAAAGTTTCAAGACGATAGCTTTAAAACTGAGAGACTAGTTTGCGTAGAAACAGACAGACGGACAGACAGACGGACAGACGGACAGACGGACAGACGGACAGACGGACAGACGGACATGCTCATATCTACTCAGGAGGTGATCCTGATCAAGAATATATATACTTTATAGGGTCGGAGATGTCTCCTTCACTGCGTTGCACACTTTTGACCAAAATTATAATACCCTCTGCAAGGGTATAAAAATTATGATTCAATTTTTATTAAAAAAATTGAAAATAAGTGTTACGATTCAATTTTTATACCCTTGCAGAGGGTATTATAATTTTGTCCAAAAGTGTGCAACGCAGTGAAGGAGACATCTCCGACCCTATAAAGTATATACATATATTCTTGATCAGGATCACCTCCTGAGTTGATATGAGCATGTCCGTCTCTCCGTCTGACCGTCTGTCCGTCAGGTGTTTTTAGAGTTAGACAGTTCAAATTTGACATAAGAGCTATTTTTGGCAACACATTATAACATGCCAAATTTCATAAGGATCGGCCGACTATATCTTATAGCTGCCATATAACTGAACGATCGGAAATGACCCAACTTTCGTGTTTTTGAAGATAGAAAGCTGGAACTTGGTACAGATTATATTTTTGGTCAGTTGATCCGACCTACGAAATTTCATTAGGATCGGCCGACTACATCCTATAGCTGCCATATAACTGAACGATCGGAAATGGTACTTGGTAGAAATATCAACTTTCTTATTTTTGAAGATAGAAGCTTGGGACTTTTTTTAGATTTATTATTTTAGTTAATTGGTTTTATTATGATGTATTCATAAGGATCGGCCAACTATATCCGATGTTTGCGATATATATTCGGTTTTAACTGCAAGGGTATATCAACTTCGGTTCCGCCCGAAGTTAGCTTTGCTTTCTTGTTTTAATAAAAATGAAATCATAATTTTTATTTTTATTTTTTTTATTAAAATTGAAAAATAATTCTTATTCTTAATTATTATTATAAAAATTGAAAATAAGAGTTATATTTTAATTTTAGCAATAGAAATTGAAATAAAAGTTTATTGTGTTTCTGGATTCACCGTTAAAAAATGGTATCCTTTTCCCACTCCCCACAAAGGCTTTTTTGTCGTTCAATTTTTTTGAACTCATAAGTCTTATTTGCAGTCCCTGATAAATATGTTAAAGCTGTTACTAAACGTTATTAAAATGAGAGCACACGAGTTTTGTCTTTCTCGGTTGTGTTAGTGAACAGACCGAAACACAAAAAACGGTCAACTGTTATTGGCGAGCTCTGGTAGAAAGAAACTCAGGAGGTGATCCTGATAAAGAATATATATACTTTATAGGGTCAGATATGTTTCCTTCACTACTATATGTCTCCATTCTGCAAGGGTATAAAAATGAAACCCGTTTTCCGCTGTCACGACATCACATAAAGGTGCCGCGAAAACCGTTTTTTTTGTAGTTTTCTAATATTCTCTACAATGTACTTAAGGTACTTACTTATATTAAGAAAAGCGTTCTTAAGTTGCCGCGAAAACCGTAAAAACAGCTATTTTCTATTTCCTATACAAAAACAAATCAAACTGGCCTGGGGCTGGTTGTCAAATATTATGGTTGCGTTTAGAAATTGCTTGATATTTAGTGAAAACAAATACAGTTCGTTTGTTTAAAGACTAAAAAGTTTTTTGTTTGCTAATAAGTGTTTGTTAGACACGGTATGTTCACTTCACTTCATATCGTTTTTTTGTGACTTTTTCATATCATAACTTTTGGTGACTACACAGAAACCAATACAACACCAGACGTAAAAACTTAAGCCGCAGAACTCGTCAGTCAAATACATATAGGAGCAAATCTAACTAATGAGCAACGCGAAGCGCGAAATTACCTTTAACGGAATCGAAATCAACATAGAAATGTTGTGTTTAATCCCCACAGAGCTGCATTCAGTTATAACGTGGAAATTGATTACAGTTCAGAGCAAATTGTTGCTATTGGACTAATGAATATTGTGTGTCCACATTGCAATGCATTGAAATTCAAAAAAGAAGACCCTGGATTGTTTTGCGCCAGGGGCCAAGTCAAGTTGACGCCATTGGTACCACCACCAAAGCTACTCCTTTAATTGTTTTCCGGAAATGGGCCAGATTCTAAACGATCAGCGTTGTGCACACAACTCAGTGAAAAGATCCATTGTGGAACAACTTCAAAAATTTTTCCATCAACCCAATGAAATAATTGCATTTTTGCATTTGACCGCATGCCATCTCATAATCATAAAATTGTCATCAGAGCCGATAAGGCGCCTTCAGGACAACATGCTGGACGTTTTATTGTGCCAACAACTGATGAAGTGGCTATTGTCGTCGTAGGAGAATATTTAGAAAACCGAGACATTGTTTTATATCGGCGGATATAGATCATAGATAATAATATTTTATACTATATCCTATAAATACTATTACGGACCCTAAAACGAAACAGTACCCGGGCGTAGACGGGCTGGGCAGCTATAGACAGCTGGCAGTGCAAAATTTACTCAGTTCTAGACTTATGCACTAAGACTGACAATAAAGTAAGGTCTCCAACGCTGCAACTTCGCCGCTGCAACTTATCATATAAAATACATAATTAAATAAAACCATTTTTCATAAAATTATTTATTAATTTTTTTTCATAAAAAGATAAAATTCACCTAAGATATGTCAATTAGAGCCTACAATTGCATCGTTTCAAAAAATATATAATTCGACATTTTCCCTGGAGCCGCGAGTTCAATTCCGGGCGCACTAATGTTCACGACGAGGAGAGAAGTGGCCGACCGTCGGTGTCGGATGCGATTGTTCAAGCAGTGAAGGCAGAAATGCTCAAAAACCGCCGTGCGACAATTAGGAACTTGGAAGAGAAGCTTGGAGGAGTGTGTAGCAGCGAAACAATCCGTCATATCCTTGTGAACAACTTGCAGTATCACAAAGTTTCTGCCCGATGGGTGCCGAAACAGCTGACCGAAGACCACATGAAGCGACGCGTGGAATGTGCGACCAAAGTTGTGGCCCGTTTTTAAGAGGAAGGCGATGATTTTTTGGAGGGGTTTGTTACGGGGAATGAAACGTGGGCTCATCACTGTACACCCGAAACAAAGGAGACGTCCAAACAATGTTAAGAAAGACGCGGAGGTTAAGAAAGAGGTCAACACCTGGCTGCGCGAGGCGGAGGGAGAGTGGTATTCTGCCGGCATAGACAAGTTCATCGTGCGGATGCACAAGGTGCTGGAAAAATGGCGATTATGTAGAAAAGTAGCCAAGACCTTGGCCTTTCCAACGGTGTATCGCTTTTTGTAAATCAGAGGTCGGCACCCCAATACATTGATATGATTTTACCGCATTAGTGTTAGTAACGAATAGCAGAAAGTAGGCTGTGAGCATGACGTTTCACACATGTATACTGTGTGTGTGTGGCAGAGCTCGGGCAGAGAAATTTCCTATGTCCCCGAGATAGGGCCGTGCCGACCTCTGTTGTAAATAAATGTCACTTTGAAAAAAATTTTAAAAAAATATTGGAGACCTTACTTTACCTTATATTGCAGCCCTCGTATCTGAAGCGCTGTGAACCATGAGGGAATATAAAAATAACAAAAGGCAAACATTATTTTCGAGTTATTATTTCATCGTAATTCAGCAAGTTAATCCCTTAGTGCTATAGCGTGAACAATATTTTTCGTTAGTCCATCTTTAGCTATCACAAACAAAATGGATGGTTTACCCACTAAAAAGCATGCCGCGTATAATTGTCCGTGTGAAAAATATGGTGTTCTTAAATCTTAGCCACAAATAGACATCGCGTGACCTTGGGATTTGTTAATTGTCATTGCAAACGATGTGATTGTCGTTGTTCTAATCTGACTTCATTGCGTTCAGCTCGTGTATCTTCTGGCTCTTAATTCAATTGCGCTATTCTAACACGTAAATCAGTATTTTGTTGCTGGATTTGTTCTTCGATTCTTTCGGATCTTCTATTTTGCGTGTTTCGAAATCTACTTGTATCAAGGCTCAAATCGCTCCCTTTGCGTTTTCTTGGCATTGCTCACTGTACAAAACACTCATAAATATAATTAATGTATTAACTTAATGATAATGTATTTTTCCTCCAGTTAAAATTGAGTAAAAATGCTATGGTAGCGTGAGTTTGTCAGTGTGTTCAAGCATTGAACACTATTTTGTATAGAAATTCTTAAGTTAGAGTTTCAAGGGATCGGACCCATGAAATATGAGTCAAACACATGGTTCAAAACCGATCCCCTGCAGCCTAACACAAACAAATACATAAGTGGTGCGCTTATCGCACTGGAGAAAGGGTCGCATAGCAGGTCAGCGTGCAGTGCGTTGACAAGTAGTTTTACATACATTTAAGATTCTCATGTATCGTACTTATAAGAGAACTTTGACGAATAAAATCAGTTTCCATAAGGAGCTCATTGGAGTAAGACCTATTTATTTAGGGCTCCTCTTAACACAGTGTGATGAGGTAGTAACTCACTTCATATGTGATTTTTGGTATGTCGAACAGGATTAAAGAGGATGAAGAGGATTTTATATATATAAATACTAGCCAAGCCCGGCAATCGTTGTTTGGCCCATTTTTGTTTTCTATAACACATTTAAACAAGAAGGGAAAGCTAACTTCCGGCGGAGCCGAAGTTGATATACCCTTGCAATTAAAACCGGATATATATCGCAAACATCGGATATTGTTGGCCGATCCTGATGAGAATATGATAATATAACCTAAATTATTATATTAAAAAATTTAAAAAAGTCCCAAACTTCAAAAATACCAAAGTTGGTATTTCTACCAAGGTAGCTGTAAGATATAGTCTGCCGATGGCTATGAAATTTGTTAGGTCGGATTAACTGACCAAAAATATAATCTGTACTAAGATCCAGATTTCTATCTTCAAAAACACGAAAGTTGGGTCATTTCCGATCGTTCAGTTATATGGCAGCTATAGGATATAGTCGGCCGTTCCGACTTATATACTGCGTGCAAAGGATAGAAGGGTGTGTGCAAAGTTTCAAGTCGATAGCTTCAAAACTGAGAGACTAGTTCGCGTAGAAACAGACAGACAGACAGACGGACCGACGGACGGACGGACATGCTCATATCAACTCAGGAATTGATCCTGATCAAGAATATATATACTTTATAGGGTCGGAGATGACTCCTTCACTGCGTTGCACACTTTTGGACAAAATTATAATACCCTCTGCAAGGATATAAAAAGTTAAAAAATTGGGTATTATTATTTCTTCTAAAAATAATCGCTTTTATTATTTGTTACGGGCAAAATTAAAATGGGAATGGACCAAAGAGGCCAAGGGTTCTATCTCTTCCTCGGAGCAGGCCAGTTTGAAGCGACAGAAGTTATCACCTATTGTTCAAACATCGAACACGACTGTATATATAGCTTGTCAGTGTGATGAGGTAGTAACTCACTTTAGTAGTAACTCACTCACAAGTCGAACAGGATTTAGAGGATGAAAAACAGATGTTGGTGGATTTTCAGACCTACTCAATACACTCACATAAAATCATGAGAATCGGTATAGCCATTTCTGAAGAGAATAGTAACTAAAACTGTGACACGAGAATTTCATATACAGTAGTGGCCACAAGTTTAGCACACAATGCCTCACCAAACTTTAATTGTGTTTTATTTTGCTCCCCAAATGTTTTGTTTTGTGTATATAGATTTTCAATATAATCAATGGAGATGGTTTGACCAGAGGTGCGCTACTTACAACGTTGTTGCAACAAAGAAAGATATGCCTTCTTTCACCTAGCCCAAAAGCTTTGCTGAAGGAATACGACGCGCTGTCAAGCACCCTACCGGTTGATATTGCCCGACCAGATCTGCCGATGCTTTCTCCGGATAAACCTCTTAAGGGCATGAAGTTTGGGTTGCAGCATTAAGATCGTGTAAGGTAATTCCTTCATGCGGAATACGCCTGAAAAATTTCGCTCTTATCGAATTGCAGCCCACTCCACCCTTGCCAACGGAATGTCCACCATGCAGGCTGACCCAGGGTTAAGTCAAAGTTTTCAAGCGTTGCCTCCTCTGCCTCTCCCTACCTTCAGCGGTGGATACTCGGAATGGGCTGAATTCTACTCGATCTTCTCTTCGATCGTCGACAACAATCCTCGTCTTAGTTGGCAGAGGATAAGCACTTAATGTTTCCAAAAGGCGCCGAAATTCTGCGTCGCGATTTGTCCATATAAAAAAAAAAACGGTGTGAAAAAATGAAGAAGAAGAAATTTTTGCCTCCTAGATTTTGCCGGTACTCTGACGACGAAAATTATGGCTGTCAAATTGAATGGCGTTGCCGGGTCAAAATAAAAAAACAGCTGATCTCGGGGTGTAAAAATAATTTATTTGATTTATTTTGACACCCAAAACATGGAGCGAAAATTGAAAGAGAAATATTAGAGAGAGAGAGAGAGAGAGAGAGAAAGAGAACAGCTGTTCAGTATTACTCTTTTCCTTAATTTTTTTGGTCACATTAGCTCGGTAGCCGAACAAAGAGCGATTTCGCTATCACACGTGTGACAGCGGATTTTCGTCGTCAAAGTACTAGGCTTTACAGCGGCCGAACTCCATATAAAAAAAAACGGAGTGAAAAAAGGAAGAAGAAGAAATTTGTGCCTCCTAGATTTTGCCGGTTCTCTAACGACGAAAATGATGGCTGTCAAATTGAATGGCGTTGCCGGGTCAAAATAAAAAAACAGCTGATCTCGGGGTGTAAAAATAATTCATTTGATTTATTTTGACACCCCAAACATGGAGAGAAAATTGAAAGAGAAATATTAGAGAGAGAGAGAGAAAGAGAACAGCTGTTCAGTATTACTCTTTTCCTTAATTTTTTTGGTCACACTAGCTCGGTAGCCGAACAAAAAGCGATTTCGCTATCACACGTGTTACAGCGGATTTTCGTCGTCAGAGTACTAGGCTTTACTTAAGCCTTGCTTACATCAATGGTTTTTGGTTCATTATTAAAGAAATAAAATTTTAAGAGTAACGATCCACATATGTATACAAAAAAAAGTGTAGACGGCTTTAGTCGAGTTTTCCTGCTATATTATACCCGGACTCATCTCTTCCACTTAACTAACCTTTAAAGAGGTTAATTCCAGTATGGATTCTCTGCAACCTATTTTTATCGCATACTTTTGCGCTTGGGCAAAAAAACAACTGCCGATTTTTCTGAGGAAACGTAAATTTTGTCACATTTGATAACACATTGATTTAAATTTAAATAAAAATATGTAAATTTAAAAAAATACATACAATGTTGAGTTCAAATGACATCTGTAAAATTTGTGGTAGCTAGAGTTTTAATAAAACTCAATCCGTAAGTTGGCATCCCCATGTAAATTTTTGGTATTTTTTTGTTCGAGGTAGCGAACAGAACCATTTGGTATTTTTGCCTCGGTTTAAAAATTTTTTTTTGGCGGTCTTGATATAAATAAATAAATAACTGTTTTTAACTGATATTAAATATCTAATTAACATTTTTCGAATAACTTTCGGTTTCGGTTTTTCTTAAAATAAACAAATCAACTTTGGCTTAAACTTAAAATGTCGTACATAATAACATTATATAGATATGTCACAACGATATACCAATTTAACAATAACTTGTTCTTCGGAAAAATAACAAGTCCGCGATAAATATTCATTTAATCGTAATGTTAGTTGTTAGGGATTACAGTGATATTCACTGTAAACTGTGATTCAGAAAACGAAGGTACGAAAAACTGGGCTTGCAGGTTTTTTAAAGGTATCTACATCCATTTTCAGAATCGAGTTTTTAAATAATTTAATTTCAATTCTATTCAAACTTTTACGGGTTGGACAATTTTTTTTTAAATCGAATTAATTCTTAAAAATAAATACGAAAACGTTTTAGTTACACCATCCCCAAATGTTATATTTCGTGGAGAATGGCATTGCCAAGTAAAACCAGCAAGGTAACGAGAAGACGACAAGAGTACGTGTATAAAATAATAAAAATGGGAAACCGATATGAAAGCAGATTACAGTAGATTGATAATGGCAAAAACCAAATAAATAGTAGATGCACAAGCAGAGAACAATTTTAAATTGGGGAATTTGAATAATAAAGAATAAATAACAAAAAAGTAATATGTGTTCAAAGAGATTTCATAGAGAATGACAAAACTCAAGTAAATGCAGCGAGTAATAGGAACGAGAACGAGAGTACTGTACGAATTAAAACTTTGTGTGGAATAAAAAAAAAGAAGAAGAACAAGGCGACGACGTGAGCATATATTAAGTATATTTAAAGTATATATAAAACAAGTGGGTAGCAAACAAAACATAATCATTTGACTCCTCAAAAAAAGCTATCTCAAAGACAACGATTTGTCTTTATTACCCTTGAATCGCATGAAATTTGAAGCCTTACTTTGACTAAACGAATACCCGCAGGAAACGAAAATTAAATCTGTGTGGAATTACAAGAACTGTTGTCGCGAGATAAAGGTAATTGCTATCCAAGTGGGTTTGAGTCCAGTTTTCTCAACAAAAAATACATATGTATACATATGTACATAGGTTTCCAGCTGGCTAAGTAATATAATTAAATTAAATCGCCGCCAAGCTGATCCATTTATGTATGTGGGTGCATCCCTAAACCATACAAATTAATGATCTCCGACCATTGCAGACTCCTACACAACCGAACAAAGTGCCGCTCAAAAAGGTTTCCTAGCTAACTTGCTAACTGCAGTGGCTAGCACCAGACTATGTCTAACTTTCCGCGACACCAGGAGGTACAAGAGAACACATAGCCATGGCTGCGACAAGAAAACTTCAAGGTACTCTATTTAAACAAAAAAAGAGCTTTGCAAGTTTCTAAATTTGTTTTAAATGTAGAAACTAATAAATTTATCGAAGATGCAAATACAATTTTTGTAAAATCAGTAAAATTCTTCTCTTGGTTAGGTGAAATCGATCGATGTTTAAAAAAAGTAGCCGAAGGCGTTGAAACTTTTGAAGATATTTGGAAAAAAGTTCACAATGCCACAAACACCAACCAGAAGGTGAGAGCAATGATTGTTTTGTAATTTAAATACAGTCACTTGAAGATTTGGCTTATATATTTATTTTTACATCAATTCATTTAGCAAAAACACCTGCAGGAGAAATATGAAGCAGATCTTAAAAAGGAAATCAAAAAACTCCAGCGATTGCGCGACCAAATTAAATCCTGGATTGCATCGGCTGAAATTAAGGATAAAAGCGCATTGCTCGAGAATCGAAGGCTTATTGAAACTGTGAGTATAAAAGAATATATTCAAATGAAAAAAAAAATAAAATTTGTTTTATGTTCTTTAGCAAATGGAGCGCTTTAAGGTGGTTGAGCGCGAAACAAAAACAAAGGCCTATTCGAAGGAAGGTTTGGGTGCGGCGCAAAAAATGGACCCCGCCCAACGAATTAAGGATGATGCGCGAAATTGGTTAACCAGCTCTATTAGTTCACTTCAAATACAGATTGACCAGTATGAGAGCGAAATCGAATCGCTATTGGCAGGGAAAAAGAAGCGCTTAGATCGAGATAAACAAGAACGGATGGATGATTTACGAGGAAAGCTGGACCGACATAAATTTCATATATCTAAGTTAGAGACCTTGCTTAGGTTGCTTGATAACGATGGAGTTGAGGCGGAGCAGGTGAATAAGATTAAAGACGATGTGGAATATTATATTGACTCGTCGCAAGAACCAGACTTCGAAGAGAATGAGTTCATCTACGACGACATTATTGGACTTGACGAGGTAGAGCTGAGTGGCACGGCCACAACTGATAGTAACAACAGCAATGAGACGAGCGGTTCGCCGAGCAGTGTCACCTCTGGCGGAAGTCCCTCGCAGTCACCAGTCACAGTTCAGCAGGTATTGCCTTCCTCAATGCCTGTAGCCCCAAGTAGTGGAGGCAGCAGTTCCGTCAACACAATTCTGTTTCAACCGCAGCAAGCAGGACCATCTAACGGCAATAATTTGGGTTATGCAAGTGATACCAGCGCTGCTTCATCATCTGCTACAGATGCTGCGACCAGTATGGTTGCTATTGGTGGTGGTGATAAGCGTAGTAAAAACACCGAATCCAATACGAACAGTAAATTAAAAGTATGTATAAAATGGGCTTATATTATCAATTGAATCCATTATAAATACAAACTTTTCCTTAAGCAGCAACTTCAACCAATAAAGCCAATCCCTGTGCGAGCAGCTGCTAAGGTGCCAACGGGTATTGATAGTGAGTGTATGATAAATATATTAGTATTTTATACTAGTATCGTACTTAAATATAAACTCTTATAGATCAAGTTAATAAAATTGTTAGCTCAACACCCAGTAAAAATAACTCCCAGCCTACAACTGCAGCTGCTATTGTCGCGCAAAGCAATATCAGCGCAAGTGCAGCTGGAATCTCTAGTTCCACCACTGGAAATGGACCTCCAACAACAGCTAGTTCTACAGTTCAACCTCACGCTCCTGCGCCTGGCTTGCCCATTACCAGCTCCACAACTTCCTCTAATGCCGCGACATCTTGTTTAACCAACAGTAGTGTACAAGGCTCGACTGTGATCCCAGCAGCGCCAACCATTGCTTTTGCTGCGGTAGCAAAAAACAATACATGTAGGCGGGTAGCGCTATCTTGTTCGATGTCCTTACTTATCGGGGAGGTCTCTTTCTAGCACTATTGGAAAATTCTCCTGCATTGCAACAACCGCAGCCACAAACTTTAGTTCCTACGGTGGCTGCCATCGTTGGAGCCGGACCCCAGACTCTGCAACACCAGCAGCAGCCACAGGCGTCACAGTTATCCAATCTTCAAACAAATTCCTCTCTCATACAAAACGGTAAAAATGAAATACCTCTTCCTAGGCAAAATATGCAAAATATATTTCAGGTTTTCTGTTACAATATTTAAAACATTCTTGACTTACTTTTTAGGTGGTATTCTGGTCTAAAATAAAAAAAATATTAATTTCAATTAGTCTTAAAAGTCTCAAAAGTCTTAAACTATTTGAAAATATTTTTACAAGACATTTGTTTAACATTTGACTTAAGATGTTTTAAGATTTATATATTTTCCTGACGTTTTACTGAATAATTTTACTGAATTAACCAAATCGCAATACTGAAAGGTTGTATTCGTAAATATGGCCAAATATTTAGACTCTCCTCCTTATCAAGGATATTTTATTTAAAAATAAAATTTTTTTTGAATAAAATATACAAAATATATAAAAAAGAAAATACTCTAGACCAGTATACCCCCTCATACTCTTTAAATAATTTAATAAAAATATTTTTTTATTTATCAATGTTTAAGTTATTCCATTCATAGTAATCCCACTCATAATACCTATGCTAACGGGTTTTCAATTCTGAAATTAGCGTTATTACCTCGAGCTCTTTTAGTGATGCAATATACAGGGTTATTTTTTAGCCAACAAATTTGCGGATTCAGAGCCAGACTTTTAAGCTAAACTATTGAGAGTTTCTGTTACTGAAAAAAAAAAAAAATCAAAAATAATGATTATTCATGATTTTTATTTTTCGATCATAGAATAATGAATATTTTGTGATTTTTATTTTTTGATCATAGAATAATGATTATTTTGTGATTTTAATTTTCGAAACAGTGCGCAAAGTTAAAACAGTAAATATTAATTTAGATTTAAATAATGTAACAAAAATTTAAAGAAACGGTACCAGACACACGGATATGCTCATACTGACTCAGGAGGTGATCCTGAATCAAGAATGAATATACATACTTTATACCAGTGGTCGGCACCCCAATACATTGATATGATTTTAGCGCATTAGTGTTAGTTCCGAATAGCAGAAAGTAGGCTGTGAGCATGACGTTTCACACATTTACACTGTGTGTGTGGCAGAGCTCGGGCAGAGAAATTTCCTATGCCCTCGGGATAGGGCCGTGCCGACCTCTGCTTTATACGGAGGTGTCTTCTTAACTGCGTTGCACACTTTTGACTCAAAATTATACAAATAATATGTATTATATTTATACAAATATAAAAATTATAAAGCACAATTAAAAAAAATATGTAATAGGTTCCCAAAATTAATTAAACTCTATAAAAAATCACGTTGTGTAATAATACAAACAAAATGCGACCGGTTATCGCGTTCGGCATTATAACATTTTTCACATGTGAAAAATATAGTAGTTGTCCAATCTGCAAATTGTGCAAAATTAAACTGCTTGGAGGCATTTCAGAGGTAGCCTTTCGACCTAAACAAGTAAAATGTTTAGAAACAAACCGACATAATTATTTTGTATTATTTCCATTCATATTTTTTGTTTTTATTGTTTCGCAAACTTTAAAGATTTAATTCAATTTTTTTTCTTTACTTTTTCAACAAACTTCTGCGAAGCAAAACTTCTACTGCATTGTTTTATGTTTCTTCTTTCTTTCGCGGAAATTCGCCAATATGGAAATACTGGTCGAAGATTATGCATTAAAAATATTTGGGCAAAATTAACATACCCCACGAGTACTATATGACAATAAAGACATTTTTTAAAATCACTTTTTTGTTTTTATTAGGTCTACCAGTCTCAGACAGTAATAGTGACAACAATAATAGTATTGTCGATGCTATATCGCTTAAAAGCATGGCACAGGAAGCTATTAATCGAACAGCGATCGATACGACTTCCTTAATTCAACAACAAACTAACAACATGGATCCAAGACAGTCTCAATCACAGCAGCCGTCTTCGCAACAATCTCTCTTGCAACAGCATTTTAACACGGAAAATACTGCCAATCAGCTACAGCAACACCAAGTGCCACCACAGTTGCAGGACGTGTCTGCATCAGGGACTCTGATAGGCTCGGTAGTAGCTGTGACTCACGGTGCAGCAGCCAGCAATGGTCCCACTACCGAAAGTGGACTTATAAATGTGACGAACGCTACTGGTCAGCCAACAAGCATCAATACGAAGCCGCATACACACCAGCAGCAGTTGGCCACGACCGAGGCACACATTCCTACTTTGTTGGGGGTCACCCCATTGGGTCCAACGCCTCTTCAGAAGGAACATCAAGTACAATTTCAAATGATGGAGGCAGCTTATTTTCATCTGCCACACCCCATGGATACGGAGAAGTTACAAACGTACTTTCATCGTGCGCCAGTACCGACGCCAGCACATTACCCACAGGTGAGTTTTTTGTAAGGGTTATGTTGAATACAGTTTACTGTATCTTGAATTTTTTTACAAAGGCACAGCTGCCCATATACGATACCGTTGAATTTTATCAACGGCTCTCAACGGAGACTCTATTTTTTGTCTTTTACTACATGGAGGGCTCCAAGGCCCAGTATCTGGCGGCCAAGGCTTTAAAGAAGCAGAGCTGGCGCTTCCACACAAAGTATATGATGTGGTTTCAACGACACGAGGAACCAAAAATTATTAATGATGATTACGAACAGGTGAACCTAACAATTTTAGCCTAACAATATGTCGTGAATAAAAATTTTTTTACTTATAGGGTACGTACATCTACTTTGACTACGAAAAGTGGAGTCAGCGCAAAAAGGAAGGATTCACTTTTGAATACAAGTACTTAGAAGACAAAGAGCTGAATTGAATATGTTGCGATGTGTGTTGCTTCGTCTGTGTATAAAAAACCCAATCCATTGAAAAATAAAATAATTCTACAATTTTCATACAAAATCACACGCAAGCAATCATAAAAAAAATATCTCTCCAACCTCAAATCCATCAAGAAAAGCACAGCAAAATTTTATACTGTTGGTCTACTTTCAAGTAAGGCCAAATATAAGAAAACGCAAATTAGGCGATCCGAAAAAAAATATGTAAGCATAAGTTAAAAGAATAATGAAGTACGATTTTTTTAATGCATGTAAAAACATATGCTTACATATAAATGTTTAAACATTTTCGATAGATTTTTGCTTTGCGCGAAAAATTTTAATGAAGAATTTCACTTTTAACTCCATTTATATTGAGTTATGTCCTATGCATTAAAAGAAACAATAAGTTTCATAAGTCCCAAATCCCAAATTTCATATTGTATAAAAGTCGCAGTCAAGTGTAGCTTACACTTATAAGATTTTTATGCGTTTAGAATAAGGAGCTAATAAAAAATTTAAAAAATTCAGCTGATCTTATTAAATATAATATTGTAATTACGGTTACTAAGATCATTGATTACGTTCAGTAAAATGTGTTAAAAAGCAAAAAACCACAAAATATTGCATAAATAAAACATTTTTAATTGTAAGATAACAATAAACTTAAATTGAGTAAATAGTTTAAAAACGCCTTTTTGAATTAAATAGAAAACCAATTCTTTTACACGTTGTATAATATTTTATATTCCATAAAATATTATGATTCTAATTAAAGTTAGAAACTTAAATAGAAGAATAATTTTTTTCTAAAAGTCTATAATATAGTGATATAGATATCTACATACAGCTGCGTTCATAGAAATAGCAGTGAAACAGCATCGAAAAATATAAGTCTTGTTTTGATAAATTTTTGAGCCTTTATCAAATTTTTGTATCATTGTTTTAGTAAAATAGAATATACAGATTGCAAAACGCCTAAAGTAAATTGAGTAAATTCGATTTACTCTGCTTTTTTCTTTTTTTCATATTTTTTCTTCAATTTACCAGATTTTGGCGGTTTATTTAAATTAGCTTATAAATAACTTAATTACTGATTTTTTTATGACCTAATGTTACGTTGTATAAGTCTGTATTGACTTTAAGATCCTCACACCTAGGTGGTATAGAGTCTGCCAAGTTCTGCCAACGTTAAACCCCAACGATCCAGCGCCATTTCAAGTGGTTGTTATATAACTTCCAAATGCCTTTGATATGCCTTACGCCAAGTAGTGCCTGCTGCTTCGATTAATATTTTATGACATTGAAAACCATTTGGGATAACATTTTAAACCTTCTTTGTATGTTTTGTCCAGAATTCTAAGCTGAACGATCTTTTCCCTTTTTCTCTTGGTGCGAGAGATTTTGAAAAAAATTTGGACCCTGAAAAAATTTTGCCCACTGGGCCTTTTTCCGCTTGCTTTGCACAGTGGTCCAGCCCGTAGGCCAAAAATAAAAAAACCAAAGTCCAAATTTTGACTTTAAATGTACCAATTCTTATTTATAATTGGTCTAGCTATTTGAATTTATTCATCTTTTTGTTTTAATCTGTCTGTCCGCTTCAAGAATAGCATCGAAAGTGATAGCAGATAGATATTCATTGCAGCGTAAGCAACATGCAAGTGAAGCTCTCCGCAAAAAGCTTATTAAACATTTTTAAAACAAGTGTTTGTGCCACGGAAGTTATTAATATTTTAAAGAAAGGTATTAACTTTCTTAAGCATAATATTAAAAAAGTATAAGTATAATATTCTTAAGCATTTTAACAATATAAGAAAGTTTAGTTCAAGTGCCGTAAGGTGCCGTGCGGCTTACAAATTACAAAAAGGTAACCTAACCTCAAATTGAAAAAACTGGATATATATCGCAAGAATCAGATATAGTTCGCCGATCCTTATGAAAATATCATAATATAACCAATCTATTACAATACAAAATCTAAAAAAAAGTCCCAAACTTCTATCTTCAAGAACACTGAAGTTGGTATTTCTACCAAAACCAGTCGGCCGATCCTTATGAATTTGGTAGGTTGGATCAACTGACCAAAAATAGAATCTGTACGAAGTTTCAACTATCTATCTTAAAAAGCACAAAAGTTGGGTCATTTCCGATCAAACATTTATATGGCAGCTATAGGATATAGTCGGCTGATCCTTGTGAAATTTGGTAGGTCGTATCATGATACAATTATATATAATTATTATATAATTGTATCATGGGTCGTATTATTTTGTCAAATATAGCACTCGTACAAAAATTGAACTTTCTAACTGTAAAAACACCAAAGTTATAGCATTTTCGATCAATCAGTTATATGACAGCTATATGATATAGTTGCCCGATCTGGCTGATTTTAACATATTATTTTAGAATAAAAATATAAATATTTTGTGCCAAGTTTCCAGCCCCTACCTCAACTAGAAGTACTTTTGGCCGCTCTCCCCATACAAGCCGGACCACTGTGCTTGTTCGTATACAAATTTCGCTCTCGCTCAAATGACGAGCAGTATTTTCTGTTCACATTTGCTCTGTTCTTTCCAGGACCGTTTGACTTGTATGTGATTGTTAGTGGGTTTTGTGTTATTTGCCTTAGTGACATTTGGATATTCAGAGAAAATAATTACAACGAAAATGGGAAGGGAAATAAATAAAATTAGAACTTTCAAAAAATGTGAAATACATACTACATTTTTATACAAATGTAGTACACATACTACATTTATAGCCATCCCGGATACTCAAGTATCTGTTGAGAGAGCATTTTCAGCATTACAATTTATTCTAAGCGAACGACAGAGTTCAATAAATACCCAAAACCTTAACGCTTTACTAGTTTTTGGGCACAAAAAAAAATTTATTAAAAATCACTCATTCAAAAAGATGCACATTGATGCACAAGATGTACCACTGTGCATCGAAAAGAATTCAAAATGTTGAAAAGACTTTTTGAATTGACTTTTTCGGTCAATGTGCGAATCTCAATCATATTTCTCAGTGAGCGATGTTCAGTAGGCGAGCATTTTGTAAATCTCTCAACGTAAAACACTCAACCGAAAACCAAAGTCAAAAGAAAACAAGGCTCCTGCTCTGAGAGAGCAGTTGTTTCAGTCTCATAAACTGAACATAAGGAAAAAAAAATGAACAGTTATTTGCAAGCTATGCTTTTAAGTTATTGTTTTTCTGCAACAGCCTACATACCCAACCGATGAATGATGCTGGCACCATTTTAAAACCAATTCCTTAAAAACCAATTTTTGTTAAAGTTTCAAGCTTCTATCTTTAAAATGGTATCACAATGGTATCATGATTATTCAGAGAATAATGATTATTTCTGATTTTTTTTTTTTCTTAGAGATTAATCATTATTTTGTAGTTTTTAAAATAAAATTCATAACAATAATCATTTTTGACGGTCCCTGAAAAAAACAAAGTGTGTTTTCTCCCTCTCTGAGAGAAAACCTTTTGATTTGATATAATTAGGTTTTCGGTTGAGCTTTTTGGGTATGTCAAAGGTTTAGTTACAGATACCGAATCAGTTCAAAAGTCAAATCAGTGTTATGACATAAAAACAACAAACTTTCAAATTTATGGTCCTAAAAAAAAAACTTGGGAAATAGCCGAGAGGCTAACTAGCAAGTTAACTGCTCTGAGTTCAAATCGAACTAAAAATTTTTTTTTTTTTTTACTTGGGTTTATTTTAAACATATTAAAACATATATAAAATATTTTATTTATCAATGAGCTCAACGCATAATAGGGACTTTATTGTTTTTGAATTAGGTGCAGAATTTCGTTTAGACTGTAGATCAGTGGTCGCCACCCAATACATTGATATGATTTTAATGCAGTGGTCGGCACCCAACGAATACAATTTAAAATAATAATAAGAATAAAGTAAATATAAAAAAAGTAATAATAAAAGTGAATATTATAAAAATAACCACATCAAATCGAACCCAGGACCCCAAGGATATAGAGCGCTCGCTTTCCATCTAGGCTACCCTTCAAGTTGATCTAATGATAATTAAAGTTGGTATTGAAGTAAAAGGAAGAATCAATGGCAAAAACAGGCTAAAGAGTAAAGATAATAGAAAATATTTCTGATCACATTGCTCGCACACTGTTTTAATGTGAACATTTTAAACTGTCATCGTTCCAAAGATGTTACGTTCTAAATATTTAAAAAAAAAAAAAGGGTTCCACTACAAACTGAAGGGATGTTAAGGTGATTTTTAAATTTTGTATTTTTCTTGATTGGATTATTAATTTTGGAAAACACATTAAAAGAATAAAAATAGAATATTAATAGATTTAAAATAAAAAAAAGTGGGTGTCTCGAGCCAGATTTGAACTCGTTTCACTCTGCACACCAGTTAAGCCCTCTACCACTCGGCTATCCCTTATTCGTTGTCGCGCGAAAAAATTTCTTAAACTTAACTTTTCGCGATGTGGAACCCGCCATAGAAAATTTTTCTTTGTATCAGATGTCCCATCTATGTAATTTATAATCTTTAGTTTTATACTGTGTAAGCGGCAGAGCTCGGGCAGAGAAATTTTCTGTGCTCCTGGAATAGGGCCTTGCCGACCACTGCTGTAGATGGAAACCTGGGTGGGTGGTACAGCTATCTAACACAACCGGTGCAATCCCATTCAAGTAAGGGGAATTCAGCTTCAGCTCGTTAGAAAATATACAAAAGCTAAAAAAACAATAGGAAAACATAATTTGAATACGAAAACCATGGTTGATTTCTGACAAATTGTTCAAAGGGTCTTAACTGTTATTTGCAAGCTTTGCTCAGTAAATCAGTAATGAAACCACTATGTTTGAAAAGCTATGCTACTCTCGTAGTGCCTTTGTTCTTTGGCTGTCGCTCAGAACTGATTAATTTCTGATTAATTCTACAAAATTCAATTATTTTTTACTAGTAGAACTATTTTTTACTACTAGAACTTCCATCTCAGCGGAACTTCTCATTAAGCGGCAGTTTAAGTTAACCTTTGTGAAACTCTCTTTCAGAAGTAAGAGAGAGTCTATTTTTTTCT